AATTTGAGTAAACAAGTAATGGGTTACTAGTGAATTAGTAACATTTAAATTTAATTTATTTTAAAAAACAGTTTGTTAAATTAATTAACAAGCAATGAGTAATTAGTAAGTTATAATTGAGTTATTAGATAATCATGTAAAGTTATTAGTGTTAACGAGTTAAATACATGAGCAATGAAGTATAATTGAGTTATTAGTGAGTAAAATATATGAACAAATAATGAGTTGGTGATGAGTTATTTACATCAACAAGGAATGAGGCAATGACTTAAACAAGTTATGAGTTATTAACAGATACATCAGATAATTAATAATAAGTTAACAGATAAGTCAGATAATGAGTTATTACAGAGTTATTAAATCTGTTGGTGTTTTTTCAGTTTCTTTCCTCTCAGAGAAACCGGTCTGATCTCCGGTGACGTGTTCTTACAGATATTATTTCTGTCTTACTAAGGTGTAAATCGATGGCGACCTCACAGAACCCCCATTTACCCCCACCTCCTCGTGCTGCTCTCCCAGCATGCCTTGCTCCAGCAGCAGATCAAGGAGGAGGTTATCCCCTGGTTAATGTGACATGTCTGTCTGCGACCTTGCCGCTTGTTAACGGCTCGGATTATTATTGTGATAATGTGGCAATTAAAAAGGAAGCGCTCCATCAGAACAGGAAGTGTGTGTGTGTGTGTGTGTGTGGGGGGGGGGGGTGGGGGGGGGTCTGAGAGATGGATGGGTGTAGATTACAGGGCGGTGGGCAATGCATTAAGGTTGCAATCCATTTTGACACCCTGCTGGTTCTTACTAAACGCCCTCATTGATAACCGCTCCTGATCAATATGTCTGAGCAGTCGAGAAAACGGGCAAAAATCAGCGAGCGCCAGCGCTAAATGAAATACCATTGGTCTGCTGGAAGAGTCGGCCATCTTTAAAACGCCACCACAGAAGGATAATGTCAAAACGTTTGAGCTGAGGAGGCGTGGCCACTTCCTGTCAGACTCCGACTTTCAAAATAAAATGGATGTTTTGATTTAGAACTGTGTGCTTCATAATTGGACAATAAAGCTGTCTGTGAGACCCGTGGGAAACCTGAACCTGGTTTAATGTTCCCGTTGACCCTGGATCTGACCCTGGATCTGATTCTGGTCCAGATCTTTTTAACAGTTTTAGTTGTTGGGACTCAAACTCGGAGACTGATGAGCCTCTTGTGTTTTTCTTCCAGATTCTTCTTGAAGTTTTTCCTGAAATGCAACCAGAACTGTTTGAAGAATGCGGGAAACCCTCGAGACATGCGGCGGTTCCAGGTAAGACCGGACCTGTCGCAGATTCTGGACGCCTCCGGGGGCACGGAGCGGGTCTCATGATACTGATGTTGCCTCCTCAGGTGGTGGTGTCCACTACGGTCAACGTGGACGGTCACGTGCTGGCAGTGTCAGACAACATGTTCGTCCACAATAACTCCAAACATGGCCGCCGCGCTCGACGCCTGGACCCATCCGAAGGTAAACCGTGGCCCGGAGGAACGTCCCTGGACATGAATCAGACCCTGAGGTTACCACGGTGTGCCGCGATGGTTTTAATTTAGGGATTTGGTTTCAGGTCGACCCGGTCTCGCTGCTGTGCTAAAGTTTTGGACCGGGTTTGTTCCACATGTAAAAGGAGCATGAAACATGCCTGTATGGAACTCTGTGTTCCTGTTGGAGGCTCAGGAGGCGACGGCGAACAAACGCTTCCTTCTTCCAGTGACCAAATGAAACGCTTCGCCCGCATATAAACTTCACACGGTGAAACTGGACTCCGACAGCTGGAGCGCCGCAGCTACGTTTCCTCTGAAGCTGTAAACTTTAAGACCGCTCTGCCTCGACCCATAAACCCCCCCTCCGCCTCCTCCCACCTGACCGCCGCGCTTCCAGAAGCCATGACATAAAGCTC